CCCCCGCCGCCATCTTGCGCAGACCAGCGTCGCCATTGTGCGACCTCGGGCCCGTCGGGACCGACCCGGGCACGGCCCCGCTCTGTCCCCTGCCCCCCCTTGCAACCGGTCCCGTGGCTACCCCAGGCGCTGAGGCCCGGCGGGGCGGGTCTGAGCCCGGGCACGGCCCTGATGGTGCCCTAGGCCGTTGGGGCTACTTGACGCCTGATGCAACCGGCGCCCGGTGTTGCCAGTACAGGAGCGGCTCCGGCTCCTCCCGCCACCGCCGCCGGGCCCGGCTCGAAGCACCCCCCTGTATCCAACCACGACACAGAGGGCTCGGCGGGAGCTCGGGCAGGACCCTGTGCTCAGGACTGTCAGAACCTAAGAACCACAGACAGACGGCCTGGAGAGATGGACATCTTGCACCCGCACAGCCAGATCTGACCAACACCCAGAGCCCCCAGTGCGGGGACAGACGGACACCCCCGTGGGCAGGACAGACACCCAAAAACCCCACTCAGGACAGGACAGCTGGACACCTCCATGAGGGGCGGGGCCGTGGGACAAGCCCCTCCCCCACATTTGCATAGTGGGCGGCCCCGCCCCTCACCGTGCCTTTGCATTGGGGTCCAGTTCCATGGGGCGCTCCAGGCCTCTCTGATCGGTACCGGGGGGCCCAATCCCCTGCCCCTTCCCTCACCACCACTGGAGACCGTCTGGATTTTTGTAAAAAATGGTTTATGGGTTCCATTTTTGTATAAAACGTAGGGGCAGCTGAGCCACTCACCCACCCCCCCAGCTGCCACCCCACAGCCCGCAGTGTGTCCTACTCAGAATCTAAACCCATCCCAATGTTTCCTCTACAGTCAATCCTCTCTATGCTCTTCCTTTGAACTACTCCTTAAAAAAAATTCCTCGTATCCCCGAGATGTTCCTGTGCCCAAGTACAGTACGACGGGGGGATTCGGTGCTGCGCTTCCTCTACGCTGTTTTCTGTTGTCCCTTCTTTCCAATCAGGGACTTGTGGATGTGGGGAATGACACCTGCAGAGAAGAGGGGAGAAATCCTGTCAAGCCACTTGCAGAATTCCCAAGAAACTGAAAAAAATCCTCCATTTCCCATTCTGTGAAAATCCAGTGTGAATGTCGAGTGCATCCCCCTCAGTGTGAATCTAGGGAAGCAGCAAGCCCGTGCATTTACACCAACTGCCAAATTCCTCTTTGGTTTCCCACATTTCCCCTTCTTCCTGAAATTCCTACTCAAGGATGGCAACACGGGAACACCACCTACCTCCACCAGCAATGGTGGCTTTGATCAGGGAATCCAGCTCCTCGTCACCGCGGATCGCCAGCTGCAGGTGCCGGGGCGTGATCCGCTTCACTTTGAGATCCTTGGAAGCATTCCCGGCCAGCTCCAGCACCTGCAGGACAGCAGGAGGAGGTGGGAATGCCAAGGGCAGAGGGGCTGGGGCTGGGGAGGAGGCTCCTACCTCAGCAGTCAGGTACTCGAGGATGGCTGCGCTGTACACAGCCGCCGTGGCTCCCACACGCCCGTGGCTGGTGGTCCGAGTCTTCAGGTGCCTGTGGATGCGGCCCACTGGGAACTGGGGGGCAATTAACAACCTCGTTAACACCTACAGACCCCCCCACAACGTGCATATTTACACCCTACACTGTCGATTTGGGCTGCAGCTTCCAGGACCAACACTCCAAAGAGAGGACTTAAGTATCACCATCCAGTTTATTTATTACTAATTAATATGTAATATTAATGTTATAATAATACATTATATTTTTATTATATATATTGTATATTGCTATCATATAATTTAGTAAAATGCAGTTATATCTTGTATAGCATAAAATAACTGTATTTTAATTATTAGTTAGAAAATATAACTAATTCTCCCGATTAATCCTCCCATCCTCTCTGTCCCACCTGACAGCAAACCCCCTCTGCAAGCCCAGGGCTCCTCATCGCTCCAAGTTAAAATACTTAGTCTTTTAAACCCCAGAAGAAGAGGGTTTGGGGCCCTCCAGCTGCTCAGCATTCCATGTGGTGGTGATTCCCTGTGCCATACCTGCAGCCCGGCTCTCTGGGAGCGCGACACGGCCTTGGCCTTGGCCTTGCCGCTGTCCTTGCCCGCCTTGCCTCCAGCCTGGGGGAGAAAGGGGCCCATTAATTAATCCCCGAATCCAAACAATCTCGTTAATTCTAAGCCAGAGGGACCTGCTGCAGGATAATCTGGCAGCTCCCTGGCAACTCAGGGCCTCTCAAACCACGCAAATTCAAGGGGATGATAAACAAGGGAGGTTTTCAGGGTGCAGCAGCTGCTCCCTCACCCAGGTGTCTTATTCCTGCTGCCACTAATCCCACTGTTTTCCAGAAGATGCCAAATGGGGGGGAAACAGCCCAAAATCCCATTTTTGGGCATTTTTTCCCAGCATTTATGAGCCCAGCTTGTTTTCAGATTCAGTTTCTCCACATACTGACACTGTACACTAGGCAGGACACTGTTCCTGTATATGGGAATGTGAATCCTGTGGGATTCAAGGGTAATTCCCCTCCTGGAAATCACCCAGGAGCCCCAGAAATTGTGGATTTAATGAAAATCATGTTGAAAGGGGTGGAAATGCCAAAGCCAAGAGTTTGGGAGTTGCTGAGCAACAAGGAAGAGCCAAGCATGGGTTTGCTGGGCTCTCCCATCCGCTGTCAGGAAACCCATGGATTCCAGGGATATGGGAAGACCCCATGACATCATTAATCATTAATGAGAGCTGTTCCTAATGATGGTGAGAGCCACGGGTGATGAAGGAAGGCATAGGGAGCTGCACCAGATGTCAGCAACTCAAAATCTGCTCCAGGTAAAAAAAACCAGGGATAACAATCCCCAAAACCAATTTCTCCAGCCCACACAGAGACAAGAAACAACAGCAGAGGGAGATGGGAGCCTGAAAACACCCTGGATATTCACAATCCCTATTTTTATAGCATATATTGATCCCACAATCCCCATCTCCTCTAAAAATGAGGAATTTCAGCTCATGGTGAGGGAGCTGAAAGGATCCAGGAGAGCAAATGGAGCACGTTAATCCTTAAAACAAGATGCTGCTTAACGAAGATCTGGGTCACATCCCAGCCAGGTGGGAATATAACACAAGGTTCAGTTCAAACACTGGAAAAAAAAAATTAATCCCAAGGGGGCATTAATTAATCCCGGGCTGATTAAAATAAACAGAGGGTACTGAGTGAGGCCATGGGGGACCCAGCAAATCCGCTCTATATCCCTGCAACCATGACAGGAAGGGTCTTCAGGGATGGCTTGGAGAAAAAGTGAAGCACCAAAAGTTACTTTAATCAGGAGAAAACATCGCTCCATAAAACTGCAGAACTCAAGGAGGGCGTTTTGGGGGAAGCAGGATTTGAGGGGTGGAAAGGGAGATTTATGGGCAAGAAAGGGGGAGGCAAGGGGGATTTGTGGATATTTCCTTGCTCTAGGAATAAAAGGCAGTGTTGGGAAAAGCACTGGCTGTTCTCACTGAGAGCTTTTATCAGCCAGCTGTGAACTTTCCCACTGCCCCATCAGGTTTTCCAGCCTGGAGCTGCCTGCCTGATAGATCTTCACGGGGAGGGGTTGGCTAAGAAAAGCAAGAAAGGTTTCGCTGTGGAAATCTCGAGGTTTGTCCCAGTTTTCACCAACCCAACACGGGGTTTGCAGAGGGAACATGGGAAGTTCCCCCACCCAGCCCAGTCGCCTCCAGCTCCCTATGGGAGATCATCTCACTCTGTGCTGGGAGCGAGGGCTTCTGGATTCCTCCCTTCAGAGGAAGCAATGCCGAGGAATTCTCTCCTCACCCTCCGGGTCGCGGCTCCCAGGGACTCAGACAATCCTTGTGACATCTCCATCCCTTCTCTCCACCAAAGCCCCTCACTGGGAGCACATTCCCATGCTAAATCCTCCCTGGGTCTGACACACTGGATCCTCCACAGCAGGCAAACTTTTTTCTTTCTTATTGCTTCAAACAGGATAAAACCCTTCCAAGCAGCAACTTCTTATCTCCTGCAGCACATTCCCAGACATCCCCGAGCACAAGTTCTTGGCGATAGCAGAAGTTGCATAATACAATGGTGTTTCCATCATCGCGGAGGGATCGGGGCCCTTACCACCGGCTCCACAACCTCCACGAATCCAGAAGCCCCCCACGGAACTCCCTCGAGCCCACCTGTGGATCCACAGAACATCCCAAGAATCCACAGAATCCCCTGAAACACCCACCACCCCTCTCCCACCCGGTACTACAGAACCCCGCCAAGTCCCCTGCAAATCCACAGAAATCCCTTGCGGATCCACAGAAACCCCCCAAGCCCTCTGCAGATCCACAGAACCTCTCCTGTGGATCCACAGGATACCTTTACAGAACGACAGAACCCCCTGCAGCTGCACAGAACCACCCGACTCACCCTAAAAACCCATAGAAATCCCCTGTGTAACCACAGAACCCTCCCGCAGACCCAGGGAGTTCCCCAGGCACCCTGCGAATTCACGGAACCCCCCCAACGAGCCTTAGAACCTCCCAAAGCATCCTGCAGATCTGCGGAACTCCGCATAGGGCCACAGAACCCCTGTACCCCACATCCCCCTGCCCGCCTGCGCTGACAGCTCCAGAGCCGGCTCCCCTCATTCTCCCTATGGAGCCACAGGAACGGGGCACCGGAGAATGAACTTCCTTCTCTTCCCCCACGGAGCGGGCCTTTCCCCGAGAGGCGAGCTGAGATGTATCCGCGGTTGACAGACCCCGTTCGGGCCCCTCGATTGACGCTTCCCCTACGACAGCCACTTCCTCCGGTCCAACCGTGCCGCAACCGGAACACACCGCGACCGACGAGACACCGGCCGACACTGCACCGCTCTGACAGCGCTGGAGGGCACCGGCGGGGCCGGATTTGGAGGGCAGGACAAACCCCCTCCCCAGAAGCCAGGCGGCAGCGGCCAAGGGGCACCGGGGG